TTTTGTTTCTGGTTCTCTTTTATTTACATCATTATTAGAACTTAGATTATAGGATACCATATCTTTATCAATACTACTTTTAGAATTTAAATTAACTTGTGTAAATTGACTTACACAAGTTTTAATTGGTAAATGTGATTCAAAATCAGTTTCAGTTAGTTTAAATTCAAACTGACTAATTTAATCCGCATCTTCAGAGGGATTTTCCATCACTGTAGAATTTTTCAAAAAATTAAAATCTCATAAGCAAGTTAAAATATGTTTTACAATTTCATTCTTATTTCCCTCACAGGAAATATTATGAATGTCTGTAATTTTGATTAAGTCCGAAAAATTGAAATTATTACAAATTTTTTTAAGTTTATTTGAAAATTCTTCATCATTTGGTTCAAAAGAGAACTCTGAAAAATTTAGTATTTTATTACGATTTAATCTGGATAAATCATTAGGAAATAACAGCTTGAATAATAACTTAATTTTATTTGCCGTCACTAGTTTAATTGACGTTTGAACCCTATTTATTTATTTCAAAAACATTTTGAATGCAAGCTAAGCAACAATATCATATTATAATTTTTAAAAAAAAAACAAGGTAAACATACGAAATGCAGTTCAACCAGTAATACTCTATTGATTAAATCTCATAATAAAAATTTCAGATCACTACTCAAATCTAATGTCAATAAAATATAAATAACCTATTCGCCAACGTCGACCTTCATCAATTTTTCGTTGAAGAGAAAAAAAATATATCATTTCTTTTCAAACGCGCACTTAAAACTTCGTAGTTCTTCATGCATATTCCTGATTCACGCACATAACTGTTGTTTTGAGCTCTAGATACTTTCTTGAGCACTAAGAACTGTAGGGTCATCGGTCAACTCTATGGATGGGGCACACATCAAATGGTTTCCTGGATGTCAAGTTCCCTTCTACATCAGCATTTCTGTAGCAGTGAAGGTACTGGTAGTGGAACAGACGGGGTGTGATTTCATCCTTTAGCACCGATTAGGTGATTTTTTTTTCTTTCCCCGGCGTGTGTGATGGGATGGGGAAAACTTCAACTTAGCAGCCAGTCGGACGATAGGCCTATATTTCAAATGGATAAACACTGGTTTTCTTCAAAAGGTTTCCTCCGTGAAGCAAATATCCTGCCGGCTTGTAATAACAGGGCTACATCCCTGTTATCATTGGTTACAATTAGCTCAAATGATTCAATCGATAACCAATTATTCCTTCATTAGTTTTATTTACGGGTAGGCTGGTGGCTATAACATTTCACATCCACTCTCCACAAGGGAGGGGGTGGACAAAACTCCAGATGGCTCCGGCAGATCTTACTTGAAACACATCATACAGCAAGAGACATGCGAAAGCAATCGCTCCTGGATTATATACTAATAGAATAGGAGGTGAAAAGGCTCTATCGTCGCATACCTTGTAAGCCTACGCATTAAGGAAAATCATTTACTGCTTCTACTGATATCAGTAATATTTTTGCTCACATACTATAAATACTTGGCTGAACAATTTCCATAAGATCGTTTCTCATTTAAATTATAAAAGATTTTTACCAACAAGAGTTGGTAGGTACTTACTTTATTTACGTCGCACTAGAGCTGCACAATGGGCTATTGTCGACTGTCTGAGAAACATCCCTGAGGATGATCAGAAGACGTGCCATCCCAATTTTGATCCTCTGCAGAGGGGATGGATCCGCAATCTAATACAGGGGCTCATGAAATTTAAGGTTCCACAATTTCATGATCAACAGTGTAAATGGGGCAATGTGGTCAGAATTGTGCATGGGCCGCCTTTACTCCACAGACAAGCTGGTAGAGCTTAAACCGTATCTGTTGTTCGGATCTCAGTTCTTCACAACAGTTTAATGCCTTAACAACATACAAATCGGGGCTCATTGATTTGAATAATTAAGTATTAAGTCGTTAAATCAATAATATATTGGATGAAAAAAATTAAAATATTGTGAATATGTTAGGAACAAAATAATTTTTTTATTAAGACAAATGAATTACAGTCTTATTTATGATTAAGTTCACGATGCCCTTGGTGATAACATTATGTTAGGATAATGAAATAATTAAATTTAACCTAAAGAACTTTTGTCAACAAGCTTTAATTAATGCAGTTTACATTTTAAAGGATATGATATTCATTTTAAGGGAGAAGAAAAGAATTGTTTAATTTTACAGGGAAAAAGATTAAACCTTTCCAAAAGCTCATAATTATATTTTCTCCAGAAATAAATACTACAAATACTCATAAATCAATATATATATATATAATAGAATACATAAAAAAATTTAACTTGAATGATTAGACAGAATTAGAAATGATTAGACAGAAAATTTCTCGTAATAAATGTTAAAAAATATATATTATAAATTGTATATATTATACATTATAATAAAAAAAAATATTTCTAAACAAACTCAACTTTCTAGTCTCTAATCCTTTTACGCTAGCAGAAAATGTTCAAGAACAGCAGACAAAAAAAAAAAATATATATATATAGGNCGCTGTCGTGCCACAGGTCCCTGGTTCGATCCTCGGGCCGGGCAAGGTTCACTCAGCCTTTCATCCCTTCAGTGGGTCGATAAATGAGTACCAAGCGTGCTTGGGAACTAAACACTGGGGGTTCCGCGTTCGGCTGACCACCTGACCGGAACATCTGCTCCTGCTACCCAGAGCCCAAGGTCAAGAAAACTGAGATGGGCACAGTAGGCCTTGGCCCTCTATGGGCTGTCGCGCCACTGAGTTTTTATATATATATATATATATATACTTACTTTAAGTATTTCTCCCTACATTCATTCCCCTGACCAGGCCCGTAGCCAGGGGGGCGTCGGGACAAATCCCCCCTCCGAAATTCTGGGATTCACACTTTTTAGTCTTTCTTTGAGCCTCTCAGTAAAAAGAAAAACAAAAACTGTCGAATCAAGCCTTTTCCCAGTACACCACCTTCGCTAGACCTTGCGGCTCATCTTTCCTTCGGTTAGACTCCTCCCCCGAAATCAATTGTTTTTCAGCACATTAATTTATGCAATTTCCGAATCTACGCAGATTTCATTGACATCGAAAACCTCATGGGAGAAATGGAAGTATGGGCATCGAAGTGGAACCTGCGTGAACCCCTTAGTAGACCAGATACGGCACTTTCAGCAATGGAAGAATGCGACAGTATCTTTTCCTAAACATATATTGCTTGTTATTAATATTGGCTACGTTGCCAATCACCACAGCAAATGCAGAAAGAACTTTTTTTACTCTTAAATGCGTAAAAGCAGCAACAAGAAATGCTACTATGCTACTAAAGAAGAAAGGCTAACAGGGCTAACTTTATTAAGCATATTTCGGGATATTCCGGTTTGTCCTAAAAAAGTAATCGAAAAATTTTCTTCAAATCCCCGTCGCATGTCTTTGTAAACTTTGTTTATAATTATTATGTAATATTGCTTGAAAAATAATTACTATGTAATATTTTTTAATTACTAGCTTAACTTTTGCAAACAACAGAACTAACAATATTTGTTACAATGTTTTCCCCCTACTTTGCATGTCTGAAACTGTCCTTGCTTCTTATCATATCCCCCCCCCGAAAAAATATCCTGGCTACGGCCTTGCCCCTGACTGTCACCCCCACCCCTTACACAACAACCATAGGATGATTGACTGAATGTAAACAATAACAAGCTTCCTATAACCGGCGGAAATTTAAAAAATCTTCTGATGTATCCCTCCGCTTATATTATAACATACATGCTTACAAGCCGATGTATGAACTGGCTTAATATTCTAGGAAGTTTTATTAATGGGATTTATGCTTAAATTTGAGCTAATGGGATTTATGTTTAAATTTGAGCATCTTTTACCATGCAAAAGAATTTCCTGTAATTTATAAATTCTAACAGGGTGTAAGCCTAAAACAAATTTAAGAAAATTAATATCACAACATAAATTAAGTGTAAGGTTTGCCATGTTTTAAGTGTTATCCTTTATTTAGTTATATTTATGAAAAATATCACCGCTATTCATTTTTTGGGTTGCATTTTGCAGGGCAAAGCATGCTCGTGGAGTCTTCTAAATATTTATCTTGCTTGTTTCCTTGAAATTTAAATTTAACAAACGCGTTATCCTGTAAACACCACATTTATAATAACATTTGATGACGCCCTTTTTCAAGCTTAGGTGTAAATATCAATTGGAAGTTGGTAGGTAGATACTTTATTAATGTCGCACGAGAGCTGCGCAATGGGCTATTGTAGTCGGTTTGGGAAACATCCCTGAGGATGATCCGAAGACATGCCATCACAATTTCGATCCTCTGAAGAGGGCATGGTTTTCCTGCTTTGGTAGTCCGACAACCTCCTCGCGAAATCGAGTATTTTAGGGTAGAACTGTTTAACGAGGACCGATACCGCACGCCCTCGGTCCCTACGCAGGCTTCTCAAAGTAATCATCCGCCCGCATACTGACTGCACCCAGTAATGCTTGACTTCGGTGTTCTACTGGGAACCGTGTCTTAACCATCAGTCCACTGCGGGACCTGGTAAAAGTGGAACAGGAAAAAAGATCTTTACAAAAGTTATCCACGATTGCATTTTGCTTGTGTGCTGTGAATGAAAAGCAAACCGTTACTACTTACTACGAATTTTAATTACTAGCGCCGTCTGTGCTTAGTTTTACACGGTCAACCATCCATTCAAGGGGATAAGTCAAACAAAAGATGAGTCAGACAAGTGATAAATGAGTCAAACAAATTTCGGGGTTTTTCCTGTTCACCAAAAAGCTAGAAATGCAAAATGATTTAAGCCAGAAGCAATGATGACACAATAACGATGATTGTAATAGCCAATGAAATAGGTGTATTTGATTAAATAGCCAAGTAGCCAAGGAAAAGCTTTAAAGTCCTGCTTTTTACTTGGCTTGTAGCTCACATGTAGAAATGATTTTATGCAAAATTCGAAAATTCACGCTTGGCAACACTATGGATGCACTCTCTTTTTGACACTGGTTTTGCTTTTGTTTCCGTGTTTACGTATTTACGATATTCTCAGTGTTTTTGATCTCTGATGGAATGTGACGTTTGTCTTATTATGAAATTTTTTTAAAGATAAGATGCTTAATATAAGAAATCTTTTTGTTATGCTTAAAATTCTGACTTTAGTACAAGTTTGAATTGAGAAATAAGTTAATTTTACAAAATTTGAATTTCTTAAGCCTAATACAGTTGTACTCTACATTGACCTTAGCTAACACGAGTTTTAACTAATGAGCATAGACAAAATCTAGCTTTATTTTCTGTTCATTGCAAACTTTAAATTTGTTGTTTGTATTCTCTTTTCTACACAACTTAATTTGCGTGAGTTGTACGAATGCTTTGCTTTTACATAGTAAGTTCTCAAACGATATGTTTTTTTAATGATTGATTTGAATATTATAAAATATACTTGACATCTTTCTTTTGTTCTGATTAAGTGCTTACATTTCATATCATTGAGATAAAGTATATTCTATCTAGTAAAATCTGTGAATATGTTAGCATCCAAATTTCAAAATTACATGTGTGTAGAATGGCTAATACAGCAGAGTTGAAACACGTTCTTATTATACCACGTAACAAAATATTAAGCAAATATTTTATATAAAGAGGAGCACCTTTATAATCCAGATTCTGTTATTTTTTATTGATATTCTGAGGATATTTCCGTATAGTGATCTGCCACGCCAACTACAATCGCTAAGGCGATTTAAACCGGGAAAATTAAAAAACAAACATGTAGAGGTTTGCTCGGGAGTGAGCCCCTTTCTGTTATGTTCCCCCCCCCGTTTTTCGTGGGGGGGGCGTCGGCTGAAACTTAGCAAGACTGTGACTACTATTCAGCCACAGATCATGATACGGAAATCTCCCCAATATTCTATTATGCACATTTAACATTATATATAAAAAGCATCTTTGGGCATAAAATGGTAATTCTCACTGAAATTGGCAAAAATTTAGATGTTTCCGTTTCATGATCTATTCTGCCAACTACAATAGCTTGGTGCCAAATAGATTTTAAGCTTCGAATTTTTTTTTAATAAAAAATGTTAAGTGGTTTGCCTGTGGGTGGTTAAAAATTATAGCCTTCAAGATGAAAGTATAGTATCTTTTGATGTTTTTTTTTTTTTAGTTTCTCGTGGGCCACTGCCCGGAAGTCATCAAATCTTTGTGATTATTCTGCTGCAGATCACAATACAGAAATCTTCCCTAACATTTTTTAACCAATTGTATTTTTTAAAAGACAGTCCCTTTGGGAAGAATTCCATATCTATATCTACATCCCAGATGGGGACCAATTCAAAGGATTTTGCTCGTAGTCGCGTCTGGAAAAATCTCAATATATTTTTTTAATTAATGCAAGTTTAAAATTCTTTGCAGTTGCCAAGGCAACAAAGGGTTGTACTAGTAAAAAAAATTTTTTTAAAAATTTGTGGTAGATTGTTTCTGGATGTCTAAGAGTAATAACTTTTGAGTTAGTTTTCTATAATATTTTTTGTTGCTCTGCACTGTTGAGATGAAATTTAAATTTGATGCAAGTTATGGAAATCTTTCTCTTTCATTCCATCAATGCTTTTATATTGTAATATATTGACATTATAAATGTTTGAATAGAAAGTCAAAACATAGTGTTTTTTCCTCCCTTTAACTGTTAAGTGCATTAATTTGAAGCATTTCCTGCAGACTGCATGTTGCTGGCAAAAACAATCACTAAAATGGATCCATCATTATTTATTTTTAATGTCTATTTAAAGATAAAGATAATGTCTAAAGATAAAGTTTCAAAGCGCCACGATTTGATTAGTTATGTCTGTATTTAAAACTTGAACATATAACAATTTAGTAACATCAATACTCTATACTTAAAAAAAATGTTTTTGAAAGGAATAAGAAAGTTAATAGTTGGATTGAGTATAGTAAATCTAATAATAAACATGATTTCTTCCAATATTGCATTTTGTATGCTCATTGGAATAGCCCTCTCTTTATGTTATAGTAGATAACATGGTGCATTGCATTTTTAAAAAGTACTTAAAGGTGCTTTTTTCATTTTTTTTAAGTGCTTATTTTTCCCTTTTCGAAAATGAGAATTTTTTTCTTTACCATGTTGATTTCCACGACATACTTTTCAAAAGCGTGATTATATTTCGTGCTACAATATACAAACGTGATTCATATTTGTTCTATTCAACGTTTTCACAATTCCTTCAACCCCAATCCATTTTGGCTTACATTCAGTCCATAACGTTTAAAAGTGCCAATCATTTTTGTATGATGAAATGCTTGGGAGTCTGCATATGCGTCAACTGAGCTGGGTTCGGTGAGATTCTTGCACTCTCATGTGCAACTCTGCTGCATTTTGCAAGAGATTCTCAATTTCAGGCTTCATTTTCAGGTTTCATTCTGAAATTGAACTGAGAAATCTCTCAATCTTTATGGTGGCTAATATAATCCAGAAAGCAGTTCTTTGTCAGAAACTAGTTATTTTATCATGATCATGTAAAGTCTTAGAAAATTAATTTGCATTTTGTTAACGTATATATTGCTTGAAAATATTTTTTGAGTGCTTAAAAAGTACTGAAAAGGTGCTTATTTTTTGTTGAAAGATTTGGCTACTTACCCTGGATAGCACTTGTTTTTCTTCTTGAGTTTTTATTTTATTTCTATACTTCTGAAGACAATATAATATCTTGGTGCATTTCGTCGATTTCACAATGATAATCTTCACTCGAATTTGAGGATTGTTTAATCCAAAGTTAAGTAGACCAATAAATCAATATAACTTAACTGGTCAACTTATTCAAGTTTCACTGTATATGCATTTTTTAAATGTACCAATACCTATCTTTCAGATCATGCTTAATTTTACAATGCAACTGTAAATTTCAAGCTTTACTGAGATTTCAAGTATCAGAAAAATCATTGTAATTTTATATAATCACCAATTCTGACATACACTTTACTGTAACAATGTATCACAATTTCTTAATTATACATAATGTCTTATTAATTTCAAAAGCTACTGGGGAATGTAAAACACATCATAAAGATTGAGAATTACACATTATCCCATGAAAGAATATGAAATTCTATGTCATCAATTCAATTCTATGTTCTACATTCCATTACTGTAAATGCTGTTTTATATCTTACTACTGTAAATAATTCTGTACTAAATGCCAGTGTAATTCTACTGCCTAGGTAGCACTGTGTGAATGCTAGATGGCCTCTGTATTCACCTGATTTAGCAAGCTTCGATTTCTTTCAGTAAAGAATTTTCATTGCTCCCAAGCGTGCAGAGTCTGCATTTTATTGCTTGACAAGACTCGCCTGAGTTACTGCTACAATAAATTATCTCAATGTGTTGGACCGTATCCCACAATGTCCTGTCAGGAGTGCATTGCATCTTTTGGTGCAAACTCCAAGCTTATGTTGTCACATAATGAACTATATTCATCTGTACGCTATATGCCCCTTGCACTAATTACCCTTGGCAGAATCGCAGCAACATGGCGACTTTGTCCCAGAACGTTACAGAGTTCTTGCAGAAAAATTTTTCTTTTGAAAAGTTGAAAAAAAGAGCTTTTATTTTTCTACTGAAATTTTTACGTAATATTTGAATAATGCATTTAGATAATCACTTTTTGACACGCTCAATTTACGTCAATAGTATTGTAAATTTATGTAATGTTTTGCTTGTATTTTCAGCAGTTATTGATATTGATTTTCACAGGGATTTCAAATATCCCGATATATTTCAAACAATATGGAAAATTTGAATCATGCATTTGAGTATTTACTTTTTAAGGCAATAATTCTATAGAGTTTTTGCCAGTTATTGCTTTTGATTTCTCCATAGTTTTTAGATCCGATGATATTTTGTTATATGATATTTATTACAACAATCTAATCTCGAAACAAAACACGCGTTTGAGGAGTTGATCTTTTTTCTGCAATTACTACTACGGATTTCATGATTTCTTAATTGAGATGATTATTTACAAAGTGTGAAGAAGGAAATAATTTGTGCGCTCCCCTCCTAACAAAATTTGAGAATATCACCCATAATATTAGAATTAAAAATTATTGCATGTTCAATTAAACGATATTATATAATTTTTCTTTTGTAAACACAAATATGTTTGTTATTATTAAAAGTATCTGGCAGAAAGATATTAAAGAGTTTTGTGGCAGATAGCTTGAAAAAATTCTGCTACAGGGGCTATATGTACACATGATGTCCGAGAAGTATTTCCAATTAATCTCTCTCTTGTGTCCTTTTAGATAACCTCTACTACCATTTTCCCTTGACGTTTCTGGCCATGGGTTGCTATGCAGTTCTTATACCTTATGATGCGTTCTACTTTCCCTAGAAGTTAGTCACTACATTTTTTAGACATCTTGGTCTTTTTACATTCAACCTATATCAGTTTGTTCTAAATAACTTCCTATATCTCTGTGAGGAGAACTTATTTAAACTGTAATATACTTGAAATATATTTTGTTTTTATTAAAAGTTAATTGTAAAAAGAATTTAGAACTAGATTTCAAAATATATTTTTGAATTCTTTTTTGTTTTAATATACTTGTTAGAAATACCACCTAATGAGTTTTTAAATCTATATTTCTCTCGTACTGTTAACTAAGGCTATGTAGTTATGTAATTCTTTGTACAAATGTAAAAAATATGCATTTTACTAATTAAATCAAATTTAATATGTTTTTCTATGCGAGAAATGTAATATTAACTTTAGGTCATATGAGGTTGTGTAAATTAAATAGTAAGGTTTTCTGTTTAAACATAACTGTTTAATTAAATTTACACAACCTGATGCATGTCTTTTAGTATACTTTTTGTGCAAAAGTGACTTGTTGAAATGGATGGATAACCGTATAAAGCTAAGCACATGTGGCTCTAGAGTTAGTATTTTTTGTAAGAGTTACTACTTCTGATTTATTTTTACACCCAAGTCTAATTCAATATTAATATACTTGTGGTGCTTACAATATTACACATGCTCTTAGCTTGATCTATTTAATTTTAGTCGAAAACAGATTTGGATAACTTCACTAACATGCTATGATTCTAACTAAAGAATAACAAGAGGCAATATTTTACACAAATGTAGCCGCACTCAAAACATGACAAACTTGGTGCTTTATTTATGGTGTGATATTTATTTTCTTAAATTTATTTGAAGCTCTCATAACCACTTAGAATTTATAAATATCAAAATTTCTTATTAATGTTTTAACTGCGTAAATTTAAACACAAATCACAATAATAAAACTTTCTAGAATATTAAGCCTGTTCTCACAATACCTCATAAAGTTAACATAAGCAGAGGAATACATTGGAAGTCTTCTGTATTTCTTCTGATTTGAGGAAACTTTTTATTGTTTACATTCAGTAGCATATTCGTTCTCACATTTTGAAAAAGGGCTCAGTCGGATAGAGGTCGTAAAAAAAGTAACTCCTAGTTGTGCATAGTAAAATAATAATTTAGATTTGGTTTTATGAGGTTGACAAGGGTTTTAATTCCAGTCAAGTTTTAAATAAAATCATCAAATCAAAAACTGTTCGTAGATTGCTTTTATGGTCTGAAAATAAAAACAAATTCTTATATTGTAATTGGGAATTCAAATTATTTAAAAGAAAAGTAGTGCTGGTGTAAAATTACAGTTTTATTATCATTGACATAAACATCTACAGTTTGATCGCATTAATGTCATAATTCTATAGACTGACTTAATGTTTATAAAAATTCCTACAAGTATAGAATTAAACTGTATATTAACTTTATTTAATTTCATAGCTTTGGCCTAAATTTTTATAGAAAATTAACTGAAAAAAACTGCCAACTTTTTAATTGAAAAAAAAAAGTAAAATGATATATTTTCTGAATCTATCAAAGAAAATTAAAATCAACAAAATTAGCAAACAGAAAAGCAAATATTAACTCAAGTAAAGGTTACCCTCTACCTAAATACAGAACAGGTAGATCTTTTAAAACAGTTAGAGTGAATTAACAGAATTAACTTTGTTACAAAAATTAACCATATTTGAGATATTAGCTTATGACAGTCTGGTTTAAGGTTTTATTTCAGTAATTACCGCAGGTCTTAAAACAAAGCAGATGAGAGAAAAAAATTCACATTATTTGATGTAAAATATTTGAAACATGGTAAATAATAAGTTTTTGTATTCACTTTGTTTAGTACTTTGCAAGTTAAGTTTCTTCAGAATCTTATTGTAAAAAGTTAGAAAAGTGCACAGCATAATTGGATCCATACATGGCAATTAAACCTGCTTTTATAAAATTAAGTGTCAATATTTATTATTACTTAGATTATGCTCTATTTTTACTTGAATAAATCTTTTATCATTTGTTCCCATATCCTCTTCATTCACCTCTTTAGATCTTGGTTTCTGTTTATTTGCATGATCAATTATTGAGCCTCATGTCTCACATACTTTACAATACATATTCTCAATATTGTACAATTTTTTGAAGTAAAAATTTTTTGCTGTTTTCCGTCCTTCTTTAATAATATTAAATTATAAAAATATGTTAAATTTTTTTTAAAAAATTTTTTTTTATTGTTTGTAATTTCTTACATCTTTGCTATTTCAATGATTCCCTGAATTACATGTGTTTTGAACATGTTTTAGTTAGAACGTTTAACTCTTATAATATTAAATTTTTTATTTCTTTTCAAAATTCAAATGCTGAAATTTCTACCAAAATCTATTATCTATTTTTTTTTTAAATTTTATTAAATTATCTATTTTTTACTAAATATTCTAATTTTTACCAAGTTATAAATATTTTTTTAAAATTGTTTTGGCTAGCAGATTAGCCACATCTGGCTTCCAGAATACGTATTGTGCCTCCTAAATTTGAGAAATTAAAGAAAAATTTCATATTTGAATGAAATATGTAATATGCTTTGACATCCTAATATTGATTAAATGGTTATTTGAGGTATAGTTTTTGTGTCTTACAAGTTGTATTTAAACAACTCCAACATATTGAATATCAACTTTAATCTCACAAACATGCTACCCATTTTGATGAAACTATCTTCTGAAAATCTTGAAACAGAATGTTAGAATCTTAGCATCTGTTATTCTGTTAGTTAGAATCTTAACATATATCAGAATGTTAGAATCTCAATGTTAGTATATTGTCAAAAATATTGAAGTAATAAGAATTTATAGTAAGAGGCCCTAGTCTAAATGCTTTTGAAAACTTATAACACATAAGTGTAATGAAAGTAACTTTTTTTCATTAATATATTTCAAATTTGTGTGGTATGGTAAATTTATCTAAAATGTTGATTTAAAATATGCTATAAAAATAATATTTTTGAAATAATAATTAATACCAATGCTAGATTTAATAATGAGTGGGTTTTCATTATTAAAACTATATTTTTGTTATAAATTTAATCAGAGTTTAGAAAAAAACCATTAATGTTTTCCTTTTTACCAGTTTTTTTTTTTTTTTTTGTTAATATGGTTAAAGACTATTTTACACCCTTAACTAAAAGTAGTTCAACCATTTAAAGATATTTCAGAAGAAAAACTTATTAAGTATACAATAAACAATTAAAAAATATCTATTTTATCCCATAAAAATGCTAACATGAAAAGAATAATTTAAAATTGTGAATATGCTGATACATTACACTGGTTAATAAATTAAGCAAAAGTGGCCATAACTGAAAAAGTTATGCATAGAATTTAATGAAACTGGTGCACATTATAGTGCACAAAATAAAGCATAAAATGGCATGAAAAGTATTAACCATATAATTATGGTGTTCCAGAAATCAGAGTATGTATGAAATGAATAAATCAGATGTGTCAGTTTGGAATAAAAAAAGTACCTTCAGTTTGGAGTATTACTGTGTTTCTAATTTCAGAAGCACAGCAATACAGCACATACAATAATGTGTGATGTTTTCAATTCCGCAGTCTACCAGTTCTGTTGGAAGTTCGAGCCATTGCTCTTGCAAAACAGTGCTGTATTGTTTTCTACTGAAGATAATCATCCACAATGCGAGCCTTGAATGGTGTTGTGTTATCATCTTGTAGAACAAAATTGTCACCTTTTTCACCAGAATAAAGGCATACATTAACATAAAGGATGTCATCTCTATACAAATGAACATTCATAGTTCCACCTAGAAAGACATGCAGATCTGTGTGTCCACCCGAAGAGATGCCACCCCACTCACTGACTCTGCCTCCTTGGTATGCATCTCTTTCATCGATGATATTCGGTTTCAGGTTCTCTCCAAATCAAAGTACGCTTACTATCTCTTAGCAGCTCAAATCTGGACTCATCTGTTAAGATAACAGTCTATTGGTCAGCCATCCAATAAGGATCCCTGCTTGGTATTTTTTAATATAAAACTTCAAACCATTTTATGACGATAGACACCAATTTCAGTTCAATGGGTTAACTAGTTATTTTGTAATTGATATTTAAAATTGCTCGATTAGCTATGCCCAAAACGCAGTTAGTTTCCCCATCTCGACTGATGATCTCAGAATATAGGAAAAATATGACTCCCATCACCTTCTGATACAGTAAAAGCGCATGTAGTCGCTCGTTGAACATTGATAAAAATTCTCAAAAAAAAAAAAAACTCAAAGCATTTACAAGTATTGTTTATATCATGTTGTTATAGCTTTACATTTAACACACCATATAAAATTTAATAATATAAATATAAATGTACCAGAAGGTGAAAAATGGCAGGATTGGTGTAAAGCCATCAAATGTGATGATCAAAAAGAAGGGGGGGGGGAAATCATGAACTATCTGAATAATACTATTGTACAGTACTTAATAATAATTTTAATTTTATAAGAATGTTTTTCTTTTGATTAAGCTTCTTTGAAGAAATCATTCATTATGCTGAATTAAAATGTTTCTGAAATGATCTTTTTAAAAAATGCCTTTTTCTTATTTTATTCTTTGAAATGAAAAGATTTTATTCTTAAAGAGTAATTGTGCAAAGGTTATTCCTTTTTATAAATATTTTTCTTTAATTGAAACGACCTATTTTGCTTCTTTCTGCTTTAACTTAGTTATCTAAAACATACGTTCTTTTGTTTTTTACTTTATTGAAATCGAAATTTTAGAGATGAAAATAATTCATTTTATTTTTGTGTAGTTGAACGGAGGAAAAATGTAAAAAAGAATTAAAATGAAAAATGGAAGGACTTAAAATCTTTTGCATCACTTCTAATAACAATTAAATAAAATATTTTAGGAGAAAACAAAAAATAAATTTTATAAGAAAATTTGTAAACTTTATTTTGATAAAAACTTTTTATTTAAAATCTTATACATTTCAATTTGCGATCAAACCAGCATGGAATTTTAAAAACAATTCATATTTTAATGTATGTTATTCGTAAAAATAATCCAGCATTAGTAAAAAATAATAATAATGCTTCTCAAAGGTCATTGAAAAAAAAGTACAAATTAGGAAAGTAGTTTAAAAACTTTTTTTTTTGCATTCATCATTTTTGTCAAGGGCACCTACAAACATTCTCTCAGAAGGGGAGGAGAATTCAATCAATTATAAAATCATGTTTCAAAGTTATTTCTGTGATTTTCGAAATTTTAAGAAACAATTTTTATAATTTATTTATTGTCACTAAAACGGCAAACTTCGAAACAAAATTAGCAATTTTAACAATATTTAAATTTGAAAGAAGGAAAACTAAAAAATCATGTTTAATTTTAATTATTCAAAAAAATACACCACTCTTTAAATTCTTAAAATTTTTCACACACACACACACAAACAATTCGCTATTGTGTTTTTGTATTTTTTATTTTTTGGGGGGCAAATTTTGTATGAATTTTATTTTGTGAAATGCATCTTACAAACATATTTTAGCTAATAATGGCATAAAATTTTAAAATGCAAATTTCACTTCCAGTTCATTACTTTGGATAAATTCAATATTGCACATAAGAGAAATTATTACAAATAAATAATTATTTATTTTTGTAGTTTTTTAGGAAAAACTGTTTTAAGAATAAAAAAATAACTAAAAATAAATAAATAAGGGATTAAGAATTATTTGCATCTCTAGTAAAAAACTTAAAAATCCAAATCTTAAATGTTTCCATTTCCTATCTGGGATGAAACCATTAGGTGAAAAATTTTGAAACAGTTCTTATTTCTTACAACACTTTAGAATGACAAGATTGATATTTTTGATTAAAAAATATCAATTCTCAAACCAAATATCCTCTCTCTGCATTAAAACATCATTGCACTCTATGACAGCTTTAGGTTCGGCCAATTCTGTTTACCCAGGTAGTATATGCTGACGTCATAAGCAATCCCCACCTCCATTTGCGTCACGTGAAGTTAGTTTCATTTTAAGCTAATTTTGAGTTATGATTTTGAAAATTACGGGTCAATTTTGAACATACTGATTTGATTTTTGAGAGTTTTATGTTATAGACTATTCAAAATAAAGATTACGCGATTACCCTATGCATGCAGGTTCCTCATTGACATATTGCTGTGCCCACCTCAAATGTTCACTTCTATAGCGTGACGAGTGTGGCTGGTCACTTAGAAAACAGACCATGTTCATGAAACCTTCGTCGCAGTTGACACCAATCTTACCTTGGTTGCACTAAGAGAGGATCCTATCTAACTCAAGAGTTGCAGTGCTATTCCTTCAGGCACATAACAATAATGTCCGAATTCACCATTGATGCTAACCCTCAGTCACAGTGCAAGACAGGTTTCATGAGAACAACTCCAGGTTAGATTCCAAAATTTCATTTCACCGTGTACGTAGCTGCGAGTTACTGCAACCCAGGGTTAACTAACTTTAACCTAAAGATATTCCCGGTTACAGTAACCATGCATGCACAGTAAACTAGTGTTTGTTTATTTACTTTGTTTTCTTTGTCGGTACTTTTTATATTTCTGTTCTTTTTTGTTTCTAAATATTAATTGTTTTGATTTTTGATTCTTTTTTTGTATTTTAACCTGAAGATTTACCCTGTTTGAGCAACCGCAGATGCAAAGAGGGAGATTCTTATTTGTTTTCAAAAATATTACTTTTGATGCTCGGTTACTTATGTTCAATGAGGTCAATTTTTTTACTGAATGTGACTGTAATTAATTTATATCAAATAAGTGCTTATTAATAAAATGAAAATTAAATAACACTTTGGATGTTCAGTTGCTTTTTTATATGCTCAATGAGGTCAATTGTTTTACTAGATGTAACTATGATTAATTTATATCAAATAAATGTTTATTAATAAAATTAAACTCAAATTTTCCTGAGTTAATATCTTCTATGGAAGATACTATATATATTTCTCAAATTATTATTAGCAGTCATTGCAGCACTTAAATAATTTTTCGCTCAAAAAAAAAAAAAAAAACTTGGATAATACAGATTGTGGCTACAATAATTCAAGTGAATAGTGTAATTAAGAAGAAATAATTCAACTAACTGTTATTTATTTTTTTTAATGAAAAAAACAAAACAATTGATACTAGAAAGAAATATAAAATTTAAAAAAGAATATAATTCTTTAAATGATTATAGATTTTGATAATATCTATCGAGATGATAGATCTTGCCCCCTCCTCCCAAATAAATAATTTAGAGATGAACTGGCAAAATAATGTGCAATATTTAGAAATGAAGATAATGAAAAGAATTTTAAATTATTTCAATCCATAAAATAAAACTGTTAGTTAAATTAAAAACATATATATTATTTTAAATATATATTAAAAATTATGCTGAAATAAATATTATGTAATCAATAAAATTTTTTATCTGAGGTAACATTTAAACTACACAATAATCAGCATCAAATAACTTCGCAAATCAGGAAATTTAGAATTTTATAACCATAAAATAATTTCCCGAATATTTGGAAAAAATAGGATAATTTAGAAGAGATTAAAAACTTAAAACTATATGAAGTTAAAATGCCTGTCTTTAGTTGTCATTTTTAATATAGGGGAGAGGGGGGCACCTTTCAGCATTTTTTGCTACAGAATTATTAGGAAATTTCAAAATCTGAGTTCTAATTTTTATTTACTAAATCAATGTTTGAGGTAACCTCTTAATTTTTTCCAAAGGTCTAAGCTAAAGACAAAATACCAAATTTTGAATATTTAGTGAACCATATATTTTATTGAAATCTACCCCTCCTGGGGGGCAGTTTTCGACCGATGGTGGGGCACGCTTCAACAATTGAAGAGAACGTAACAATATCATACAATTTGGAAAATTAACTTAATTCATAAAATAATATAAATAATGAATGAACATATTGGATTGATGTAAGTTTTTTTTGCATTATTTTGTCTTTAATTAAATCAAAGTTTACCGAAAATGTCATGAAAAATACAGCTCGAGCTGTTCTGCCGCCTAAACTTGGTTGAGGTAGTTTCATTTTAATGTCATTTCAGGGCTAGGAAAAATTGAGAAATTTTATCCGTCCCCGAGGACGGCTTGTCCAACAATATACCCGTCCTCCTTTGAAACTAACCCGTAACTTCTATATAAATAAAAATATAATTTTCTATTATTTATTACAAACATTTATATAAATTGCACAATGAATTAGTAGTTACTAGGATTACATAATACAGTAATAAAAGAAATACTAGGTTACTTATAGTAGCCTAGTATTTCTTTTATGAAATAATTTAAATGACTGCGTTTTTTAAATGAATCAACTATGACGTTTGCCAGTTCCACAATCAAGCCAATGATTTGCAGAAGTTTCTACACAGAAATCTGAAAGGGGTTTTCCATTTAGATAGATGTTCATAATTGCATTTAAAGCTTCTTGTTTAAGACCAGTACATAATGTGTTTTTTTGTAAGTTCATTGCTGAAAAGCCCCTTTCAACCGCTGCAGTACTCCCAGACAGAGAAAACATCAATTCCACCATGCGCAATTTTATTTTTGTCCCAGCTGCTTGGAATTTTAGAGTTTAGACGCTTTGTGTAATCATAGACAAGTTGTCGAACTTGTCTGTAAGTTGGACCATAATTAAGAATTGAACATGTAATTATGTATTCACAAAGCAGGATTTCTTGCTAGACATCAAGAACTTGTTGGCTTCTGTATTTAGAACTGTAGCATATTGTGTTAGTTCTATATTGTTTGGTTTCATCAACCAAAGAATTATTTGACTTTCTTTTTTTGATCTATAAAATAAAGCAGGAAAATCCATTCCAAATAAGTCTGCTGCTGCTCTTAACGATGCACCATTTCTGACAGCTTCCATTGCGATTTCAATGTTTTCTTCACTAACTTCTGGTTTAGTGCACTTTTTTTTAAATACGCTTGCACCATTTTTATAAACTGTAAGAAGGTAAAATAACAGGATTGAACATTTTATTAAATATAATGTTACATCGTAAACTTTTCTATTTTCTTAAAATTAAATTATTTTTATTCTAAATCAGATTTTCTTGAATATTTTTATATAATTTTAAAATAATTATTTTATTGACTCTTTTAATGAATTCCTTGTTAATAATTTCTATTTTCAACAACAATGCAACTAACTGAATGCAACAACTTTGAAAAAAATGTAACATAATTGAAAAAATATTTACAAACGTGCTTCCTTGAACACATTCACATGTTTTTCAAAAAGTTTAGAACAATGCCTTACAGAAAAAGTTGAGTATTTTAAATGTAACAACCGTAATTAATGGGCTTTTTGCAGACTAATAACTTCTGCAAGATTACTTAAAAAATTATAACCCTGGGGCACCTTTCAACACTGCTGAAATGTGCCCCCTAAGCTCTGTTGTAATCTGCCCCTGGTACAGACATTTTGGTTAAAGTATTATCAACCACTTTAGAAAAAGACTTATTTCTGATAAATAATACAGTTAGAAGCAGAATTAAGTAAACTAGTGGATGAATAAATATCACTTACCTTATTAAAAGATTACTGGTAGATAAACAGTTTTAAAATTAAAACTGTCTTTTTACTTTTAGAATGTTAAAACTGTTCCACAAAGTAACACAACAGTTTTAAAAGGAAAGTGCTTAAAACTAAATGTTATAGTTATGCATAATTAAAGCTTATTGGCTGGCATATTGGCTAATCATTAAGCAATATAAGAGGGGAGAAATTCTAGTTGTTGAAATGTACCCCCTTCTCCCCTATAGCCTGGCTACTTTATGACATATGGGGCATATATACAACTGAGAAACTTTTAAGTGCATGATTTTTTTAAAAGTTTTGGAATATTTGTTCCGATTATGACATTTTCCTTTAAAAAAATTTTTTATCTTATTCACAATATCCCTGATGGCGATTCTCTCTATCATCGACAGATGGCAGCACAATAATAGTTATTTATAACTTCTGAATAATATGAATGTGTTGATGAGAAGTTTATGTTATACAATGTCATTTAAAATTTAAAAAAAAAAAGAAAATTCTTCTCAGTAGTTTAAGTTATGGATAATATATTATGAAGGGAAAAAAAAAGATTAAAAATGTGAATAAGGATGGTAATGATTCAGCATAATCCCCTTGATCATTGTGTAAAATAAAAGTATTAAATAATTGTATGAAATAAAAATATTTTTAATTGAATTTCAGTTACATTTCTATGGTTGCGTTTGGCTTTATGATATCCATAATAAAAAATATGTAAATTCATAATAATAAAACTTGGATCCTTTTGCTCATCAATACAAGTCAGTTAGGAAAACGAAACTTAACATCTTTTTCATTTGTCCTGTAGAAGAGGGATTCAAATTTAATTACTCAATGCATCTTTTTTTTCTTCTTTCAATAGAAAAATTGTTTTAAAAATAGCAGCAAAAATTGAAATCAAACACTGTTAATAAGGCTGAAAATCTACCACTGGAGTGCAAGTTAAGAAACCGGCAGTTACGAAACTGACGGTCAAAAAATAATGAATATGCTTTTCGACTTGTGGTCAATGTTTCCGAATTGGGAGTTCCGCTTTTCAGAATCAACGGCAAGTACGAGGATAAATATCAGTCATTGCTGTTTGTTGCAGCATATGGCCGTCCTTGACTGAACCTTTTGGATGCTGAACTTGTAGTTAGAAATTCTTGCCAAGGTCTATGAACCACAAAAAGACTCACATTTACCCACCTGGCACTGACTTTGTCCAGTTACTAGTCTTGAAATAGATCTCCATTGCAATTTTTCAGACAAATTATGCCTGGAAGTCATGGTTAAAATATTTCTAATTTCAGAAACAGCGAAATTTGCAGGCCTTGGATCAAACATACACTTTTATACTTACTCATTGCAGAGGACATTCTATTGCGGTTCCATTAATTTACATATTCAATTATATTGTACTTAACTACTCTTATTTGACGCCATATTCAAATCTCATCGGGATTGGCTTGTTTTTGGGAGAATTTTTGTAATTTTTCATTGTTTTATGATAACTAGTGTACAATTGCATTTAAGATGCAAATAAAAAAATTAATATCTATTTTTTTTAGTAATGTGTTTAGTATACGTTGTGAAAATGTCATACCTTAGCATTATTTAATGTCAATATTTAACAGTATACAATTTATATATTGTGCAATAACATTAGTTTCAAGCAAACTTTCTTGTTCCTTTATAAGATGAACATTTGCTTCTTCCTTTTAAATTAAAACAATTGAAATTTTAATATAAAGGACCATGAAAAATTAAGGAAATATTTTTTTTCATCTAAAAATATTATTTGAAAATCATGGAATGCTGTCAAATAGGCTACATACATATCTACAAAAGAAAAAAGAAAGAAAAGTGAATAGCTTGAATATCATAAAATCGAATTGAATTATTATAATTAATGGGATAACCTTTAATATGCTAATTAGTGCAGACATTATTAGGCATTTGTTAGGAAATCAAATTTTATTATCTCATTGTAAAAAGTTATATATTTAAAAATTTCATTTCTTAAGAACTATTCAATCAATTTTGATTAGATTTTGTATTCTGTTATTTAACTTTACTTGTTTTAATATGTTGTGAAAATCTGTATTAAATTTTTTGGACTATTATTAATATAATAATTATTTTTTACATGAAATTATCTTTAAGCAAACAAATTTAATTGTGTGCAAAAATTTTCGATTTGCTTGATAAGATCAATAGTTATTCAGAGTGCACACTTTTTTTGTTTTATGCTCTGTACATTTAAAATAGTATAAAATAAGGTATGTTTTAATAGAATGAAAAATAAACTACTTTTTGTCATTTATTTTAACACAATAACGTTTAAACATTATAAAATGCTTATAATTAATGCAACATTAAATAAAATAATGTACGTACGTTTATCATATTTTAAATTAAATTTAAATATTTTTTGTTAAAATTTTCTTATATGTTGAAATTTTATTTTTAAAATATTAGAATCATAAATCACAACATACTGGTACACCGAAGAAATTTGTTTACCTAATAAAAGAAAAAAAATTTAAAAATTCTAAATAACACCTTATTCTCTTTTATGCTTTCGATTGTAGCAATCATAATGTATTATTTAAGAAGGAAAAAGAAACAGAAGAGCTTTTGATCTTAACTTTTTCTGCATTTAATACACTATTTAACAAAATTTAAAAACTTTTGAAACAGTGATGGCTTGTTTAATTATAAGCATTTTTTGGAGGCATTTTGTGACTGCTCACATTAATTTGTTTTTATAAACCGCTAGGGAACAATAAAATAGTTCTTAAAATTGATTATTTATTATTTTCTCTTTCAAAACTATATTCTTAAAAATACATTTCTCCACTTGAAGTATGAAAGTGAACTGTTCAAAGCATTTCATTGTAGTTTTCCTTTAAAAAAAAAAGAAATAGTACCCCATTTTTGTAAGCCACTCAGCTTCTTGTCTTACAGGCATCAATTGCACCTCATTTTCTTCTTACTCAATATATGAAAGTTCTTTTTCATTCTCATTCATTATGTTCTCAATAATTTGATACCTCTACCACAAAATAATACCTGATTCAGAAAGTCGTAGAATGAAATTTCAGGTAGCAATGTTTTTTTTTGTTGAAGTTCATGTATGAGTAACTCATCTTTACTCAAGTCATCAGGTAAATTTTCTTGACTTTCTTCAGTTATGACAATTTCTTTATTTAAAGTGTACCTGATTCATGTTTTATCACTGGTCACAATGTGACTCAATAACTCATCACCATCCTTGTGATAGCAATCCATAAAGGACAAAGAATATGCCATGTTCTGTGTTCTGTCTGTTTAGCTCCAATCTCACACACATTTTTTTGTAGTGAAATTTATCAGTAGCAATGTTATTACTACTGATCTTGAAACTTGTGGTAATTTCGGATGAAGCTTGTCAACAGTGAAACGCCTGTTACGGCTAATTTCCTCACTGTTTTGTGTTGAGTCTTCATTCATGATAGTAGGCCGTCCAGATTGTTCTTCATCATGAACATTGATTATAAAGCCTACATCATTTATGCAACTTTCCATCATTCATTACACCTTCACCGCAAATTTCAACAAGCTACTAGTGAATTACAGCTGGACAAACTTTTTTTTGCATTTAAAAACCGTATAACTGAACACACTTCACAATCGGTCAGATGACATGGCAACAAAGAAGTATAACCAAGCAACCAACACCGACTGAGATGTGAAATGTAATGCAGCGTGGTGAGAGATTTGCCAAGAGTTGCTGACCTTGAAAGAGCATTGCATAACACCATGCACATTCGGTTCTTATTTTAAAAATGATCCTTGTATGAATATAAAAATGATATATATATATATATATATTTACAAAGCGTAGCACTATGTATATATTAGAAGATAACAAATCATGTTTTATTTTGAAGTGTACTAAGTGTTTTGAAACTTGTGCCAACTGTTCTTCTGAACAGGCTCCCTTGATTATATTCTTACATGCTTGGAGCTTTTCTAACAAGACCTTATCTGTAATCGATTGTTGGTTTTGGATTTCTTAAGGTCGTACAAGGTCATGGACCTAATTTAGCCCTGTTAGTCTTTGTGGATGAGCAACAACAACAACCAATTGCATATTAATATTTGTTTGAAGTCACAAATATTCACATTAGCAATTAAATTTAAAATTGAAAAGGTTTTTGATAGAAAAATAAACTATTTCTTTTTTCAATTGGTTATATTTATACTAAAAATCATTTTTTTAAGAAAAACAAGTTTGATTTAAACTGGCCAACTGTAAAATTAATTTCTATTGAACTTCCTTGTTATTATATCAAACGTTGGACATAATTGCTTAGTTTTAATTATAAAGTAAACTTGTTTTGTTTCCATTAAAGGTGTTTATAATAATAACAATAAATCTTTAATTTTGTCCTTACATTTTATTTTTATTGATCTGTACTCTTATTTACTGCTTCAGTAGAATTCGTTGTGCAATCCAAATTAAATAGGAATGTTTTTTTTCTAGGTTCAATGGCACCTGTTCTGAAGTGTGTGGTTATAATTATCCTCTCTATTTCATTATATAATCCTGCTGCATCAATTTCAAACCACGGTAATTGCCCTGACAAATGTTACTGCAGTGATATGCAGACTCTATATTGTGAAAATCAAAAACTAGGAGCTTTCCCACAAGGAATTTCCAGTTCAGTTTCAAACTTAAATCTAGCTGGAAATGAAATAACTGATTTGAACTATGATTTAAAACTAGAAAATCTAAGTTTCTTAAATGTCTCTAGGAATCATATTTTTAGTATTGACAGTCAGTGGCTTTATTCCTTATCAAATTTAAACATATTAGATCTCTCCAACAATATTTTGAACAATGTACAAAATCTTCGGAATTCAGCCCTACAGCATTTAGATCTTTCTTACAACAAATTGGAAGTGATAACAGGTTTTAGTGATATGAACAGTTTGTTATCTTTGAATGTAAGTTTTAATGAAATTGACACTATTCGAAATAATAGTTTTCGACATTTTCATCATCTTGAAACACTTGACTTGCATTCAAATAAGATAAAGGGATTGGAGTATGAGTGGTTTACTAATTTGCAAAATTTACATACATTGAATTTAAAAAATAACAGTTTAAGTCTTGTGAGAAATCTTGTTTTTTCTACTTTAAAGAAATTGCAAAATCTTGATTTAAGCAACAATTTTATTAAATCTGTAGGTCTTTTATCTTTCAAAGGACTCATTAATCTTTGTTTTCTCAATTTAAGTAACAATGAAATCACTGTTTTTCAAAGTGGCACTTTTCGACCATTACAATCATTACAATACATCGATTTAAGCAACAACAAATTTTTCAAAGTTGATGGTATTTTTATACATGCAAAGAATCTCAAATCTCTTTATATGACTCACTTAAATCACTTTAAAAATTTAACGCCTTTAAGTTTAAGTGGCTTGCACAATCTTGAAATTTTAGACCTTTCCCATTCAAACCTTTCGCACATAGATTTGAAAGCATTTTCGGAAGTTCAAAATTTGCGGCATATTAATTTAAGTCACGCAAACTTGTTTAGCTTAAAAATGGGTCTGTTTAATGATCTAAAAAAGGTTGAAACTCTGCAATTGAATGGTAATAGATGGAATTGTGATTGTCATATCTACTGGCTTCTAACATGGCTTGGGGAGCATACCAATACCCATCTTGTTTCTCCTTCAGACACATTTTGTTCTTCACCATCTAATTTAAAAGGGCATGTAGTGTTAGATGCATTAGATCTAAGTATGGTATGTACTAATGCATCTATCCATCATTTCACCAACAAAACTAAGTTTAAAGTTGGTTTACCAGCTTTTTTAGAATGCCAAGTAGAAGGAAGTCCCCTTCCCAGCTTAACATGGTTGACTCCTCAAAATTCAGCTCTCCATTGGAATGGCTTTTGGAACAGAAGCTTAGGTGAGGAAGAAAATAATAGTGGATATTCTAGTTCTATTGAAGAAGAAACAAATAAAAATCGCTTTTACTTAATGCCCAATGGAAATCTAGCCATAAAAAGTGTGGAACGAGGAGATGGTGGTTTTTATGTTTGTATTGCTTCGAATCCTTTAAATTATGCTTCAGTATCAATTCGTTTAACCTTAGATTATGAATATTTTGTTCATATTAAAATTATTAGTGTATTGGTTGGAATGGCAACTAGTTTTGGCTTTCTCTTGATGACTTTAATTTTTGTTCTTGTACAAACTATATTAAAGCATTTTGGTGTAAAGTGGCCGTGTCGAAACGGAAATGCTTCTCCTCGTACCCAACAAATTAAAAAAATTCTTGAAAGCATGGAGCATTATAAGAAACAACAACTGGACAAACTTAGAGATAATTATAATGGCCAAGTACAAAGAATTAAGGATAACTGTATGCAACAAATGGAACGTCTGAGGGAGAGTTATTCATCTCAAGCTGAGCGAATTCGTGATATTAAAGAATATGGTACTCTTCAGATTGATCGTATCAGGGACAATTACTATTTTCAAGTTCAGAGAGTGAGGGATTATAGTGCAAGTCAAATAATTAGGTTGCGTGAAAATTATGTTTTTCAACGTAATAGAATTAGAAAGTTTAGTGCTCATCATTTGTATAAATTAAGGGAGAATTATAAAGTGCAGCAGCAGCATTTTAATAAAATACTGGAAAACTTTAATATTGAGAGTTGCAGAAATGTTTGCCAAAGAACAGAATCTGTAATATTTGAGCCAGAAATACTGGAAAGTGTGCCAAAAATTTGCCTTCAAACATTTGCTAAAGAAACCTGTGATTCCAATGACAATTCTAGTCAGATCTCAGCCTACTTTACTCCAGAAGAAGCAGGATCAGAAGTATCTGGTCATGAAAGTGATGATAGCCTAGATCAACTTCCTAATCAAGATCTAAATTTGAATGATGATGCTATTGTTAGTAATGGTGAAACTATTGTTTAATATTTGGGGGTTATTTTTGTGTTTTATTGTATTAAACTGCTTTCAGTGATAATATAAACAAAACAAATTATGCTAGTAATATGCAATTATCAAATTAGAATTTTGCTGCAGGCAGCTTAAAAAAGAATTTGACTGCAATTATTTATTTAGCAACATATTAATCTTGAAGAAAGTTGATTTTGAAAACAACATTCTGCTGTCAAATTTAAAAACATTGTCAACATCTCCATGAATTTAGTGCGTGTATTTCCTTGAGATATCAGAAGATAGTTAAACCACCCTTAGTTTTTCTTTTGTTGGATGTAAAGTAAATTCTTGTTTATATGTAGAATGGGATGGTACAAAAACAATGCATAAGCAAATAGGTGGATAATTTTGTAAATTGGTTGAAAAATGTCACCTGTTTATGTTTTGTTGTGTTAAAACACCTTTTCATTATTTCTTAATATTTTGAAATTTAAAAAGTGGAAAAAATAATATCCCTAAAGACTTATAAAAAAAATTATAAGGCATATCTGATTAAGATATCCCAAAACAAAAACTTCTGTAAACAAAATATTGTAGGACAGAATCTCGTACAGTTGATAGTGCTGTCTTTTATGGAAAAAATTCATGTTTTTTTAAAAATGATATTTATTGTTGCATTTACATGCAAGATTAAGTATGGGAGCGAGGCTGCAAAGCCGTTAATCTGCCCTATGAGAATCAGGATTTTATTGTATTTGTTTGTTATTTCTAAAGTTATGTTATGGTAGTGAAGTCCATATTGAAAATAAAATGTTTTAATGATTTCGTAGGTTACTTAATTAACAGGAAAATTCTTATTAGCTTATTGAGTTTCCTTTGTGTCTAGTTGTATGTTTTTGAGACTTTAGTTAACTCTTGTCTTGTTTATCTATTTTAGACTAATTTTTCTATAGTTAAAGCTATATATATATGTAAAAATATATATATAATATATATATATAAAAGATATATGAGCTCTGTATGTGGTGCCGCCATATGAAAAATAGTACTATTTTAAACCTTTGTTTATCTTGTCAAGAACACTGTAAAAATATGGCACAAATAAATGAACTGATGTACTTGAAAACTATGATTGTGCTAGTAGATAAATTCCTGGATATGATACACTAGAAAGAGACTGAAATTTATGTTTTGTAAAAAATATTGAATATCTTATAGAAAATAAAATAGCAAAAAAAAATCACTTGAAATTTTCATGAGAACTGTTTAATTCTAATCCTGTACGATGCAAGTACAATTATATGCATTCAAACTGTGAATAAATTGTATCACACTAAGATTCAATCTGGAAGAAAAGGATATAGTACCATAAAATCTGTGTGTTAAGTTTATCTATTTCCATTATTTATTTATTTTTTCTTTTGTGAAGGACTTGGGTCTCTCGTAGGTTATTCTCTTTAAATTTCTGTTGGCTTGTCGCATAAAGAGAGAACGTTAACTTACATTCAAGTCAGTTTCCTAATTTTTCTTGGAAACGGCAAAAATGTTTGCTTTGAAAAGATTTATATTAAGAGTTCTATAGTTTTTTTTTTTTTTGGCGAAAGGTGTAAGCAAAACTTTTTAAGTTTTAAACATCAAAGTTGAACCACAAATTTAATTGGTGTTAAAAATCAGAGTATTATAATATCTAAGAATTCAATTTCATGGATGAACACTTTGGAAAATCACTTGATGCATGTAAGAACACTTAATATTCAGCACAGAATTGCTTCTACAAAAAGAATACAAGTTTGTGAATAGCCTTTTGTTCAGATGATTGGGTACCTGTAACTTTCCACTTCTTTTATTGGTAATATATTATACATTGATTTCTTATTTTAAAATTCTTTGCATGCACGAAAAAATTATAATTTGAAGAAATAAATAAGGGGATAAATCAACAATAACCATACTTTGTAAATGCTACATCATATGAAGAGGAATTAAATTTTATAAATAGATAAAATACTTCATAACCATTCATAACAAAAGTCTTATTGACTCTAAGAAGATTAATATTAAGAATAAATGTGAGCAAGCATTATTGTATAATTGAATATTAAATATGCATTATAAGAAAATTAAATTAGTAAACAGTTAAGTTTTTTATCTTTTTGTTTCAGTTTAATAATTAACTGAATTTACATGACAAAATTAAGCTACCTCTCTTGAATTTTAAAACATTAGCATGATTGAAACCATTGTGTATTTTTCAATAGACTAGATTCCCGTAAGCACTGATTCATTTTACGGTAATACTAAATGCTCTTCTCACAACCCAATATCTAAATGTATTCTATTTCTATCCCATATGCCTCAGATTTTAATTAAATTAAATAATTAAACTGCAATTGAGCATTTACATTACTTATGAGTAAAATAATATCTTATATTTTGAACATTCACACCCTTGTATGTTTTCAGCCTAAGAGAAAGTTTGATTAGCTGTGAAGAGCTGCATAATAATTTCTGCAGCTAATTATCAGTCTGAGTTTTTTAAGCTCTTTCCATTTTACATACACACTTAAAAAGCATAAATTTATTTCTCAAAATTTGTAACGGAATGATCATTGTTTATAAGTGATACCAAAACTAAAAAGTATGGAGGGACAATCAATCAGATTTTTGCATTCAGATGCGAATTTTTAATAAGTTGTGACTGAAAATATTAAAGCATGCTGTTATTCTATTATTGTCCTTTTTTTGTTGATGCAGAGTTTTTACAATGCTAAAAGTGTTACCACTAACGTAAGATGGTGCACAGCTTGCAACAAGAACAAAAAGTAATAAACTTACGGAAGGAGGCCAAATCAAGACTGCCAAAAAAGCGAGTTATTCAAAATCTAGCAACCATGTCACCTTTTTTAACAACATAATTTAAATAACTAAAACAAATTTTCACTTCAGACTCACCAGAATTACATAATAACATTAATATCCTATGAAATGCGGCAGATTTGAGCTCAGAAATTATCTAATTTATTTCTTTTATTGAATTTGAAAATATCGCCTCGCAGAATAACATGTAGTAAGCAGCTGCAAACTTCTAACCGGAACTAGAGCAGGCATACAGCTCGAGATAGTTATTGTTTACATTTCTACTGAAAATACCATGCATATGGACTGAGAGAATCGTTAAACTAACACAAAAAAAGTGTGAAGGCTTAATTGCATTTTGATGATTTTTTATTATTGTAAATATCTTATTGTGTGTTCAATATAAATGCAAACAACAACAAGCTCTTGACCTGCTCTACTTCCGGTTAGAAAGTGTACAGCTGCTTACTACATCTTATTCCACGAGACGATATTTTCAAATAGATAATTTTGTTTTTAATAAAAGCAATAAATTATATATTTTATGTGCTCAAATCTACTGTATTTCATAAGATATTAATAATATTAAGTATTTTTAGTGAGTTTTCAGTGAAAATTTGTTTTTAAAAGTATTGCTAAAAACGGTGACATGGTTGCTAGATTCAGAAAGAATTCGCTCTTTTTACAGTCCCAATTTGGCGTATTTTTACTTGTATATTAATGTTTATTCTTGTTGCAAGTCGTGCACCATTTAGTGTCAGCATATTGTACGAGCTGCGAGATTAAGTTTATTTTACAAATTATCATTTAGGTTTAAATATCGAAGTTGGTATATTGTTGGCAAGGTGTTTAATAACGATTCTTTTTTTTTTTTTTTTCAAAGGACGATTCTTATTTTAAACACAACTAATTAGCCAGGAAACAAATACACGTTTACAAGAAATACTTCTTTGAGAGTCTCAAAACCAATGATCACGTTGTTAACCAAATGGCTTCAAAATACACCCGAAACATTAACCCCGAAGTATAGGAGGTGAAGAGCTTGCAGTGCACTTTAACGCTGTCCATTGTGTATCTATTTTTTTTTTTTTTTTCAGTTTAATCTTTTCTAAAATTTTTAAGAACTGTTATTAAAAAATAATTTTTATTCCGTTCTTGTTTCTTTAATTTCTGTGAGAATATTTAAAAAAATTGAGTTTGGAGAAAATTAGTTTGGAAGTGAAAATTTGTTTTAGGTATTTATAGATATATTGTTAAAAAAGGTGACATGGTTGCTAGATTTTGAATAACTCGTTTTTTTAGCAGTCCTGATTTGGCCTCTTTCCATTTGTTTATTACTGTTTGTTCTTGTTGCAAGCTGTGCAACATCTTGCGTTAGTGTTAGCATATTTTTCGAGGAGCAAGATTAAGTTTATACATTATAATTCAGGTTTAAATTTGAAAGTTAGCATATATTATTGACAAGGTAAGAAGTGTTTTATAAAGATTCTTTTTTAAGGTTGTTGTTGTTGTTCATTTACGTCGCACTAGAGCTGCACAATGGGCTATTGGCGACGACGGTCTGGAAAACATCCCTGAGGATGATTCGAAGACATGCCATCACAATTTTAATCCTCTACAGAGGGGATGGCACCCCCGCTTCGGTAGCCCGACGACCTGCACGCGAAGTCGAGCACTTTACGGTAGCACAGTTTAACGAGGACCAATACCGCACACCCTCGGTCCCTACGCAGACTGATCCAAGTGGTCACCCACCCGCACACTGACCGCAGCCAGTGATGCTTGACTTCGGTGATCTGCTGGGAACCGTGTCTTAACGATCAGTCCACTGCGGGACGAACGCTTTCCTTCAACGGGCATTTATTTTTACTTGTTCAATAACATTTCATAATTTCATTGACAATGTCTAGATATGCGTAGTATGGAAAGTAATAATTAAATATTTGATGATTAAGTATCAATTTGCTTTGCTTTAAACAACTACTATCAATCTTCTCCTAAATTACACTACCTGGTCAAATTATTAGACGCTCTATGAGATTCTACGCAAAATCTTAATTATCAGGAAATGCTATACAGCTTTATTGTTTTTACGCAGCTGAAACCGGTTTGCACTTGTTTACGTGCGTGTATCAATCGGTTAACATTGTAATGCAATATGTCAAAAATAAATACAAATAGATAGTATATAAACATCTCCCGAATAAAAATCCATAGCATGTATGTTTAAATAAAAAAGTATTGCGAGCAAACTCGTGCAAAACATGTCATTAATAAAAAACTACAGTGCTTCTAATAATTTGGTTTAATTATTTTAATATACTAATATAATACCTGATATTATAAATATTCTATATTTATATAATGTATCGTCTAATTTATCTAATCGTCGATTTATCTAATCTACCGTGTCTTAACGATCAGTCCACTGCGGGACGATTCTTTTTTAAAATGTTATGTTTACAAATTTATTATTGATCAGACCACATGTTACTACTATTTCACAATTAATGTTAAAATTATATACCCTTTATAATTTTAGCATTAATAAAATTATATAAGCGTATTGTTTTTTTTTTCTTATTATTATATAGCGACACCTTTATTAGTTATTGATGTGGTATTTATTGTAAATCACTGCTTAGGCATGCGTTAGTTTTGAGGATTTTATATCCGTAACAAGGTAAAAATTGTTTCACAATCACCCCTGGACATCTCAATATTGGTCCCTCGGTGGATGTTCATGTAGGATCCATATTGAGCCCAACTGGGGCCAAAGTAAAATTGTCCCTAGGGTTATGTCACTGTCAAATAAGTTTACGAATGAGCCAATTCTGTGAACATTTTTAATATAATATAATAAATGAGTTATTTTTTACAACAAATAGTTCACTTGATAGCTATAAACTTTAACTATCTCTAAACCTATACATTTTGTGCTTGAAAGTGTATTATTAAAATGACACGTGTCGAAATGTTCTTTTATGTGCTATACTGTTATGGGTTTAGAGTCAAAATGTTGTCTGGATAGAATATGACGGCAAAATTTTAAAATAGGTACCTAAAATCATATCGAACGAATGACACTGAAAAAATATAATCGCATCCTTTCCAATCGAGAGAAAGTAAAAGAATTTTTTTTTTTTATACTTTTGATCTATAAACTATGCACGCACAATATATGTATATTGGACAGTCTTATGCAAGTAAGAGGGTCAGATTTTCAGTTAGAGGCCCTACAAAAGTATAATAATTGAATTTAGCAATTGTAGAGTTTGTTGTTGTCCTGATATTACTGATATAAAATATATCTTTATTTGTCCAGATTTTTAACGTTTTGTCCTGATTTCATTTATTTGTTCAGAATTTACGATTTTGATAAACACGGTATTTT